TCACACACTGTGAGATCATGACCTGAGCCAGATGCTCAACCACTGAGCCACTCAGGTACCCCTACGGAGTTTCTTTTAAATGGCTTCAGAATTCTTCTCCTATACCTGCATCATACCTATCCAGTTCCTTTTATTATTGGTACTACTAGGGAAGGCATGCAATTCTAGGACTGTACAAGATTTAATTTGCTTGAACTGAACCAAAAAATGGATGGATAGAGATATCAGAAATGTCATACAATACATAGAAAGGAATATAATTTTACAGGTGGAATTGGGACATGGAGCATGTAATATTCTGCTTCTACATTTGATTTTTCAGAATGACTCAGTTACTCTATGTTGCGGACGAAATGACACAAAGGACAACACACACACAAAAGACAGACACAGACACAACTCCGGCCAGAGGAACAATTCTACGCACGCCCCTCTTGCGGTTTATTTTTATACCCCGGTAACTGGATACAAACTGAAACCTACAAGATGCATTCCTTTACCAATTAAGGGCAAGTAGCCAAACACCTTTCAAGGACAGGGGGGAGCAAAGGGAGGAAGTGACCACAACATGTTTACTAAGAGGCCTGCCCACAACTCCAGCCTTCTCCTTACTTCTAAGGAGGGCATGTTCCCTCGTTTGCGAGCGGACCATTAAACTTGGATATTGTGTGCAGGCCTCCTGGCAGAGCACCCTGTTTGCAGGCATGCTTTGCCCAGGCAGGGAGCCCCGTGTGCAGGCACATCCCCGCGTCCCTAACCACGCTTTCTTGTGGTCACTGTCGGGCTCCCACACTATATTTCATTGTTTCCAAAATGCATGTTTTTCATATTTAACATCTCAAAAATATGGATAAGGTTTGTGTTAATAGCCATTTTTTTCCATATTTGTTATCTTTGCAGTTGAGATGTATCTTATAATTGATGGCATCTTAGGTAAAATATGGTACTGTTGTCCCCTGGAAAAGCTATTCCATGATATTATAAAGATGTTAAAACAGACTTCGGGTGGCTAGGTGGCTCAGTTGCTTAAGTGTCCAGCTTGTGCTCAGGTCATGATCTCACGGTTCATGGGTTCGGCCCTGCATTGGGCTCTGTGCTGACAGCCAGCTCAGAGCCTGGAGCCTGTTTCAGATTCTGTGTCTCCCTCTCTCTGACCGTCCCCTGCTCACACTGTCTCTCTCTCTCTCTCTCTCAGAAATAAATAAAATATTTAAAAAAATTTAAAAAAACCAGACTAGAAACAGTTTAGATACTGAATGCTAATGAAACTATTTCTTAAGTCACTATTTGGGCTTTGAACAAAATTGTAGGTAAAGAGAAACTTTTTCCATTTACATAACATGTAATGGTGAACAAAGTAGATGTAGTCACAACTCCCATAAAGCTCACAGACAACAGCAGCATTGTCTAATAGAAATATAGCATGATATATGATCTATACTGCATTATTTAAAATTTTCTAATAGACACATTAAAAAAAGTTAAGAGGGGCACCTGGCTGGCTCAGTTGGTAAAGCATGTGACTCTTGATCTTGAAATTGTGAGTTTGAGCCCCATGTTAGGTGTAATTACTTTAACAAATAAAAATGAAAAAAAAAAGTAAAAAGCAATAGATGAAATTAACTTTTTACAAAAGTTCTTTACTTGAGAGAGAGAGAACATGCGCATGGTTCGGAGGGGTGCAGAGAGAGCAGGGGAGAAAAAATCCCAAATAGGCTCCACACTGACAGCACTGAGCCAGATGGTGGTCTTGAACTCACTAACCGAGAGATCATGACCTGAGGGTAAATCAAGAGTCAGACTTGACCAACTGAGCCATCCAGGTGCTCCTACGGGAAATTACCTTTAAGAATCTGTTTTATTCTGAGGTGCCTTGGTGGCTCAGTCAGCTAAAAAGCCGATTTCAGCTCAGGTCATGATCTTATGGTCCCGTCTGTAGGTTTGAGCCATGCATAGAGCTCTGTGCTGACACCTTAGAGCCTGGAGCTTGCCACAGATTGTTTCTTCCCCTCTCTGCTCCTTCCCCACTTGCACTCTGTCTCTGTCTCTCTCAAAAAAATAAACATTAAAACATTTTTTACAAAAAGAATGTTTTATTCTGTCTCACTCCCTCTCTCTCTGCCTCTCTTTCAAAATAAACTTAAAAAAAAAGAATATGTTTTACTTAACCCAATTTTTCCAAATATGATTTTAGCAATCTACTTTTTAAACTGTTAATGAGATATTTTATTTTTCCTACTAAGTGTATGAAATAGGGTGTGCATTGTATACTTTACAACGCATCTTGATTTAGAGTGGCCACATCTCAAGTGTCTCATTTAGTTATATTACACAGCACAGTTCTAGAGGCAGAGATGAGCTGTTTTTTTCATCAATATTAGGGTTTTTGTTTCTTTTCTTATTTTTGTAACTATTTTTCTTTGGGGGGGTATTTTTATTTTTTGAACAGGTAAAATACACCAAGTTTAAAAAGTACCAAGGTATTCAGTGAAAAATAAGCCTTCCTTAAATCCTGTTCCCAGTTACCCTCCTCCTGTAGACAACTGCTTTTAGTAATTCTGTGCGTTTACAAATATATATACATATATTTTTCTCCTTTGTTTTCCACACAAATAGTAGCACACTATACATAGCTTGGCACTTTCTGTTTTTGTTTTCACTTAATATATTTTGGAACTCTTTCCATAGCAATGTATGCAGAACTTCCTCACTCTAATGACTGCATAATGAATACAGTATACTTTATTTAACCTTTTGATGGTAATTAAGATACTTGTAATCTTTTGCTAATAAAGACTGCTGCTTTGAATATTCTTGCACATAAGTCACTTCATACCTCAAAGACTTATGTGTAAGATAAATACCTATATATAGAACTGCTGAATGTAATTACAAGAATTGCTAGAACATATGCTTCCTACACAGATTTCCATTTTGCTGATCATTACACCCCTAGAACCCAGAATAATATTTGGCACATTCTAGATATCCAATAAATATTTGTTGAATGAATTTATAAAGTAGGAAATGAGGCTTGTTTTTCATTCTTTCATCAGTTATGGACTCAATTTGAATGTTACTTTTGGATCTGATGGTTGCATTATTCTTACTTTGAGCACTGCTTTTCCCAGAAGTGTGACCACTCCCTCTCTCCCTTAGTTTTCCCTCCCTCTACATCCCTCCTCTATCTGACTTAGAAGCAAAAGAAAGCTGGGGAAATTGCATTAATATTTAGGGAAGACTTTTTAAGATAAAAAGTATTAGAGACCATCATCACTTAATAGTAAAAGGCTCAACCCACCAGAAACAGATGCTAAACTGACATGCATTTAATAAAGTAGCCTCAAACTATAAATGGGGATATCTACGAAATTGCAGGGAGAAATAATTAAATCTATCATCATAGCAGATTCAACACTCAATTACTGATAGCCCTAATTATATTGTTAGCCCAGTGTGTCAGGAACCCTTCTGCAAATCGTTACTGAATGTAATAAACTGTAAGGGTATGGGATACCAATATTTTCTAATGGGAGCTCAAAATGCTAAAGTATGAAAGACCTAAGAAAGCACAAATGAAAACAGCTGTAATAACACCCCTGGCAAACCTGAATTTAGGGAAAGCTCGTGGAAGGAACAGGAGTGTTTCTTTTTCAAAAGTAAGTTATAAAGCTTTTCAACTGTTAGCACTGCCTCAAGAAGAGAGGGGAATAGGTGAAGGAGCCGCATCCGGTACGGAGGCAAACAGGAAGGGACTGTAAACATTTATTTCATTAACGTTTGCTCAAAAACCATTTATTGAATAGTTACTACGTGGAAGAACTCTGCTAATTACAAGCCACTTGAGTTCAAAGAACGTCAAAATCAAATGATTTCTTAAAAGTAATTCATATTTTTAATTATCACTTAAAATTTTTAGACAAACGGACGTATTTAAGGGATGAGGAAAGGGCGCCACAGAACTTGGGCTCAGGCAGCGAGGACAGCTATGAGCAGTCGGCGGGGTCCTAGGGCAGCCACGCAAAAGCTTCATCCTACAGGCGGAAGTGTGGTCAGCTATGCTGGTGCTCGGAAGGGACTCGAGGGGCTCTTCTGCGCAGGCGCGTGCCGCCTAAATCTACCCAGGAACCGACAGAAGTTCTCTTTTCGGTCTCAGACATGGTGAGTGAGGTTGCGTCTTAGGTTGTTGCTCCGTGCAGTCCAGGTGCAGTGATACTGGGCAGCTCGGTCACCTTGGGGTATTTTAGCAAGTATTAGAGAATGGGTGGGTTAAGACATGGGCCTTACAAGATTCTTTTATGGCTCAGGAAGGGTGAAGTATTACTCAGCGTTTTCTGGAGATCTCGCGGGCTCAGTTACTCCTAATTTTATCTAGGCTTCTTCCTGAGAGGCAGGCCTCAAGATCCAACGGCCCGATTTCTTAATCCCTCAAAAAAGGGCGCTCGTTGGTGGTTTTTTTTTTTTAAATTTTTTTTTACCTTTCTCAGTATTTTATGGCTCAAAACCTAGAGTCATTGCTCGTATAGTCACTTTGAAGATGTAGTAAATTTTAATTGGGATCTAATGGAAAGTCACAGTTATTTTTTGATAGTCGTCATGACCTACTTAAAATGAGTTTAATGCTGTCTCGATCACATAGAGCTAGATCAGAAGTACGGGGAACTAGAGCAACATCCTCATTTCCTGAGAGCATGCAGCAAATGAAGAAACTGAGACTAAAAAGCTGGGGAAGATAAGGCTATAGGAACTACTGCCTTGATAAATAACCTTTGGAGTGTGTAGAGGTGCTTTGAAATCCCAATTTCTAGGATTAGTAAAATCTCATTAAAGAATTTAACTGCGAATTATGGGCTAGGTATATATTTTTTATACTTAAACTTGATGCTGCATATAAACCTTACGTTGTCCTGAAGTGGTAAACTTGGATATTCTGTTCTGTTTATTTTACTTAACTCTCAAGTGAAAGGTAAGCAACGACAGATGAGGGTAATAATTTTTTGGGTCAATGATGAGCTGGCATGTATTCTGAATCCAAAGCTGATTATTATTGCTTTAGCTCTAGAATTACTCTGAGACCTGAAAAATTACCCGAATCTTTACAAGAGCTTTAATGCTTAAAGTTTTTGTGTGGCAAGATGAAATCAAAGTCAAAAATTAAGATGTGTATTGAATATACTACTGGGGTCAACCATTAAAATAAGAACAGTTACATTGCTTTTTTGTTTTGAAAGGGCACACCGCAGAAGGATGTTACTATCAAGTCAGATGCACCTGACACCTTATTGTTAGAGAAGCATGCAGATTATATTGCATCCTATGGCTCAAAGAAAGATGATTATGTATGTATGATTTTATGTTGAAATTTTATTTTATTTTGAAGTGAGATTATTATGAACAGTCAGTAGGTCTGTAATGGCCCATGCTTCTTAAAAATGCTAACTCCTGCACGCCAAAGCACTGAAGATCCCTCTTTGAGTTGTGTTCTGGGTGCCTTTGGATATCAAGTTGAGGATACATCAGAATTAATGATGGTTCTTAGAGGATTTGGCAGACAAAATAGATTCCTACCTGTCCAGATTTGTAAAAGGTTTGAGGTCCATAAGAGATTTGTACTTTTGTGGGTATTACTTTCAAGGTCAGTGATGTGTTGGCATGTATTACCTGAATATATGGCTGATGTCTAATAACACTAGCTCTAGAATTACGCTGAGACCTTGAAAAAGGTTTTACCCTAATTTTCAAACCTTGAAGAATAGTTTTCCTCTCTGGGGCAATCTTAGAAAAAGATAATGAACAACTCAATTGAAAGTAAATATTTTTCCCAGTAGTGTCCAGACAACAATTAATTGATGGTCTTGGCTAGTTTTTGATGAACTTGTGACTTAATTGTTTTAAGTTCCCATAAGTTTAAGTTTTAAGTTCCCTTTTTATGAAGTTGTTAAGGACCATGTTTATTATTTTTTTTCCTGGATGACTCAAAGGTTAAGTCTTGACTTATTCCAGCCTTTTTTAATCTAGTGCTCATCAACCTATTATTTAAACCGTGAATTTGGGTTCACAAAGAGCACTCACCTGATTCAATACCTTAAAATCTAATACATTGTTGACTATGGGAAAAATTTATTTCTGGACTCTTTTCTTACCAGTTTTTATTTCTCTTTGATGTGCTGCTGTTGGTGGTTTTATCTTTTGTATTCCTTGGCCATTTTGGTTTTCAGGTAGTTGTATCATTTACTAATAGGTAATAGATGGGCTTTGTACATACTCCACTTATTAATAGGATAGATGTCTAATAAATATGATGTAGGTGCTCTGAAAGAAATATTCTCCCCAAACTTGGTATATTTTTCACTTCTGCTTCTGGTTGGTCCTTCGGGGAGATTGAAGGCCTGTTTGTATTGTTAGTCATAGGTGAATTTATTATATCCCTTTCAATTACTATCCCCCCACCAAATTTGAGAGCCACAAATTAAAAATCCATACTGGTGATGTTAGGATCAATATGTGTGGCTAGTTAACTTTACATGTTCTATCACTTTAATCCTGCATCAGTTCAGACTGGCACATTAAAGTTGTTGTATATTTTAGGAATACTGTATGTCTGAGTATTTGAGAATGAGTGGTATCTATTGGGGTCTGACTGTAATGGATCTCATGGGACAACTACATCGGATGAATAGAGAAGAAATTCTTACATTTATTAAGTCTTGTCAACACGAGTGTGGTGGAATAAGTGCTAGTATCGGACATGATCCTCATCTTCTGTACACTCTAAGTGCTGTCCAGGTAAATATTTATTAAAATTTAATAGTCTTGATAGTGTATTCTCTTACTTGAGAATGGAGAAACTGAATTGGATATTAGCAGTATGACAAATTGGTGTCTATGTCAGAAAAGTTTCTCTAATCTTTTCAAACGAAGCCTGTACTGTATTCTACAAGGTCAATGATGTGATGGCATGTATTAGCTGAATCCAGAGTTGATGTAAATTGTAAAATTACACTGAGACCTTGAATGGCAAAATGTTTATTTTTGTTATATGTAAATAATTTGAAAGTCAAGTAGAGTTAAATGTTGATTTTCGTATTAGTGAATATCCACAATTAGGGGTTTAAATAAGTATATTTAAAAGTCTTAGAATGCCAAGGTACAATTTATATGTAGGAAGTGAATGCTTTATGTTACCAGTTCGGGTTTGTTGATAATGCCTGTGGCATAGAAGATAGTCTGCAGGTTTGCAATATGCATAGACAAAAGGACATGTTTACTTGACTGTTTAAAATGTAGTTGAGGAAGAACATCATTAGAAGAATCTTTACTTAAATTGTTTTGTTTTTGTTACAGATTCTTACTCTGTATGATAGTATTAATGTTATTGATGTAAATAAAGTTGTGGAATATGTTCAGAGTCTACAGAAAGAAGATGGTTCTTTTGCTGGAGATATTTGGGGTAATGACATTCTATTTGCTACCCAAAATAATAGTATTAAAATCTATTTTGGTGTTTATTGTAGTGATAAGCTTTGTTGAAAAATTTTAAGTACAATGAATTAGAGACTTTGCTAATAATCATAAGGAGACTTAAGTTTTTGATCTTTTCAGGTCCCACTAAGCAGCTGGTCTAACTGAAGTTAAATGGTCTGCTGGAAGTTCCAGCATGCACTGTGCTAGTTATATCAGCATACAGGAGAACTGGAACAGAGGGGGCCAGTCTAAAAGATGAGGTAGGTGAAATTTTTTTCCCCAGTATTTGGTGGCTTTGTAAAGTTTTTTGCAAACTATTGGCAAGGGAAAAATATTCAAAAAACTTTACAAACTTAGTGGATATTTGAGTGGAGGGAGGGAATAGTACTTAGTACTATACTTGATAAATGTAGATAATCTCTGCTTTAGGGATGAATACAGTGCAGGCCGGAGAGACCAGCTGCTTCATGGGATGTGAAAATCCACTTTTATATAATAGGGTAAGTTCATTGTCATTGTTAGAAATTGAATAGTCCTTTTGGTTTTATGTTGGTTATCTTCCCTTTCTGGGCATTCTAAGCAACTTACGATAATTTGCTGTATTTTTGACATAACAATTTTGTAGTTCTTGGTTTCCTTAGAAGTGATTTCACTTTAGATTTAGCTTTCCTCCTGGCAGCTTAAAAATAAGTATTAAGCTTGAACTCTTGAAAATTTAACTTTGGTAGCTGTGCAGTTTGTTGTTACCTTGCATTATATGTTAGGGTCAGATGTCTCTGATAGCACTTATGTTTTGATGTGATTCCTTTTTTTTTTTTTTTTTTTTTTTTTTTTTTTTTTTTTTTNTTTTTTTTTTTTTTTTTTTTTTTTTTTTTTTTTTTTTTTTTTAGGAGAAATTGATACAAGATTCTCTTTTTGTGCGGTGGCAACATTGGCTCTTCTGGTAAGTTTTGAATATTGTATTGAAATAATTATTAAGTGCCTATGATTATTCTGGAATTTAATAGGCTTATTTTTTTTCTGTTTGTAGGGGAAGTTAGATGCTATTAATGTGGAAAAGGCAATTGAATTTGTTTTATCATGTATGAACTTTGATGGTGGATTTGGTTGCAGGCCAGGTTCTGAATCTCATGCTGGGCAGGTAATTTATTAATGCAGATTAAAATTGTCAGTTTTTAAATAATGTGTATTTTTTGAGAGAGGAAGACACAGTACAAGCGGGAGAAGGTCAGAGAGAGGGAGACACAGAATCTGAAGCAGTCTCCAGGGTTCTGAGCTGTCAGCACAGAGCCCAGCACAGAGCCCGACATGGGGCTTGAACTCAAACTGATCATGACCTGAGCTGAAGTCAGGACGTCCAACCGATTGAGCCACCCAGGCGCCCCTAAAATTGTCAATTTTGGAGGGATAACTAGTGCGATAAACTAAAAATATTAATAGTAATTTCAATGTTAAATATGAATGAAGTTAATTTAAGTAAACTAATGCATAAGAATTGCTTAAAAGCAGATAAAGGAAGGCGTTTTTACAGTAGTTTCTTCTAAGTAGATGAAAGCATCCTATTCCTTACCTATCCTGAGCACCCATTTGCTTGTGCCAGAGAGGCAAATTGTATTTGTAAAGAGTATTTTGTACTTATACATAGTATCTGTAAATAGTTACGAAATAAAACATTTTAGGGGCACCTTGCTGGCTCTCTGTCCATAGAGCACGTGGCTTGTGATCTTGGAGTTGTAAGTTCGAGCCACATGTTGGGGCTCTAGTAAAAATAAAATCTTGCAGAAAAAATGGTTTTTAGCCACGAAGAAATTTTGACAATAGTATTTCATTGCAGAATTGTATCTTAGAATTAGTATGTTTGGATTTGTTCAGATAGGTGATATTTACATGCTTTAAATTCTGACTTTTTAATAGAAATCAAGTTTTAGGCATAAACTGGCTTTTTTTAATTGAGTAGTTTTTATCTCTATTACTACTGAAAAATTATTATATACATGTACTCTATGTCTGTAATTTTAGATCTATTGTTGCACAGGATTTCTGGCTATTACTAGCCAGTTGCATCAAGTAAATTCTGATTTACTCGGTTGGTGGCTTTGTGAACGACAGTTACCATCAGGTGGACTCAATGGAAGGCCAGAGAAGGTATAGTTTAATAAGATATATTGTGTTCTAGTAGCTTCATAACTATTACAACTTTTTATAAATTGTTAATGAACTTTTTGTCTCTCCACCCACCATTGAAAATTTTCAGTTGTACCTCCTAAAGAAATGCCCATGGCAAAAAGTAAAATTAGATTTGAGATACTTATTAATTGTGGTATCCATTTAAAAGACTCTTGTGTATGCTACCTCTGATGCCATGTCTTCTGGTCTTCCTTATCCTGAAGTAGAATCTGGAGTTCTCTGAGGGAAGACAAAAAAATGGCAAATACTCTTAGATTTAATGTATTTGTATTCAGACATAGTATATGAATTCTTAAAGGGTCTTTTTCCCTGTCCTGAATGCCTTATATTTTCCAGGGATTGCAATGAAGCTGTTTCTTTAAACTTTTAGTTCTAGACCTATACCAGGGAAAATCAGTCATGCATTAAAAGATTGTTTCTATTTGGGACCCGAAGAGGGCTGTTTTTTAGAAAATTCTTGTAATGTTAATTTTTGAGAGAGAGATTTGGAAACACAGAATCCTAAACAGGCTCCAGGCTCTGAGCTGTCAGCACAGAGCCTGACACGGGCTCGAACTCCCGAACTCTGGGATCATGACCTGGGCTGAAGTTAGACACTTAACTGAGCCACCCAGGTGCCCCCCAGCCCCAAAGAGTACTAATTAAACGAACACCTGTATCTTTTAGAGAAATTTCCATGTCTACTTAATAGGTATGAAAGGACAAATAACTTAGCACATCAATGGTTTTTAGAAATTAGGCTACAGAATTTTTATTTAAAATCTTCCTAAATTAAAAAAACATTTAATGCTTCTTATTTATTTTTGAGAGTCAGAGAGAGACAGTGCAAGCAGGGAAGGGTCAGGGGTCAGAGAGAGAGGGAGACACAGAATCCCAAGACAGGCTCCAGGCTCTCAGCTAGCGGTCAGCACAGAGCCCGATGTGGGGCTTGAACCCACGAGCAATGAGATCATAACCTGAGCCGAAGTCGGATACGCAACCGACTGAGCCACCCAAGTACCCCAAAATCTTACTAAATTTTAAGAAAAACTCAATTTTTGACATTTTGATGTGGAGGAAAGGGAATCAAGTTTTTCCTTTGTACTTCGCATTTCTCTAGTTATCACACATTTCTTTAAATTGAGTCTGTAAGGGCCAGATAGTAAATGTTTTTAGCTCTGTAGGACATACAGTGTTGTTGCAACTACATAATTACCCTGAAAAGCAAATTTTAAGACTATGTTTTAAAAACAATTTAGGCACATAAAATCTTTTGGGGTACATGTGAGGTTCAGTCAATTGAGCATCCAACTTCTGTTCAGTTGGATCTGTTTGTGGGTTCAAGCCCCATGTCAGGCTCTGCTAACAGGAAAGCTTAAAAAAAAAAAACATTGTAGTCTGGATAATAACTCAAGGACTGTAGCTTGTTGGATCCTTTACCAAAAATAGTAAGACGTGGTGCTTTTGTGTAGATCACTGTATTTCTGTTTAGCTTTGCTTGTGCAATATTTGTGAATAAGATAAGGGGTAGGGAGGTACCCATAAGTGTTTTCTAGCTAGTTAAGATCCAGTGAGAAACCTGGACAATCTTGGACAATTAGAAAATGAGTCAGGGTAGGGATTGCCAGGAATCCATACTTTTAATACACCTATGAATCACCCACTGATTATGTTGAATGATTCTACATTTAGCATTGGGTATCTGTGGGTTGAAATGTTTAATTTTTTTTCTTCCCCAGTGATTATCTTTAATTCTAAAGATATGTGAATATATCCCTTAATCTTCCCCACCCCATGTTTGGACTAGAGAATAAAATTGTGGCTATTGTCTGTGGCTTTTTTTTTTTTCCCTCCTAGTTACCAGATGTATGCTATTCCTGGTGGGTGCTGGCTTCCCTAAAGATAATTGGAAGGCTTCATTGGATTGATAGAGAGAAACTACGAAGTTTCATTTTAGCATGTCAAGATGAAGAAACAGGAGGATTTGCAGATCGACCAGGAGATATGGCAAGTATATTTCTCACATCTTGGTGCTACAGTTAACATTTTCATTGTTGCTTGAGTACTTTTATGTTTTCAGGCATTTCCAGACATGGAAATAGGATAGTATTTAACTTTGCTGGTAATGTTTGAGAACAGATGAGCATAAAACAAGTTTACAGAAACTTCTCATCACTTAATTGTCAAAAAATTAGTGTAGGGTAAAGGTTCTATGTTAAAACCAGAATTTGAAGCCATCATTTTTATTTTATGTATGTTTTTTGATGTTTTTGATGTTTGTTTATTTTTGAGAAAGAGAGCATGAGAGGGCAAGAGACTGGGCGGGGGGTGGGGAAGATACACAGAATCCCAAGCAGGCTTCAGGCTTGAGCTGTTAGCACAGAGCCCAACAAGGGGCTCAAACTCACAAGCTGTGAGATCATGACCTGAGCTGAAATTGGATGCTTATGAAGTGAGCCACCCAGGTGTCCCCATCACTTTTATTTTAGAACACATTAAGCATTTATTAAAGTAAAGAAAATACAATGGGATCCAATATAACTTGTTCAGAAGTAGAGTTTTAGAGGTTTTCATTTTGTAATACTCTATAAATTCTTATTTTTTAAATAGGTAGATCCTTTTCATACTTTATTTGGAATTGCTGGATTGTCACTTTTGGGAGAAGAACAGATTAAACCTGTTAGTCCTGTTTTTTGCATGCCTGAAGAAGTACTTCGGAGAATGAATGTTCAGCCTGAACTAGTGAGCTAGACTTTGATGGAGATGTGAGAAATTGCTTAGTATAGTTTTGCCATCTTAACATTTCAGTAAAGTGCTTATCAAACTGAAAATGACTACTGTGTTACTATTTTGTATATGAATTGTATTAATTTTAATAAATTATGTACTTATACATAATGTAAAATAAAGATCTTTATTGTATCTTCAGCTTTAGATTATCTTCTGCAATGCTGTTATTCTGAGTACAATAATTTGTTTCTGCTTCAATGTATTTATTTGTAAGTTTCCTTAACAGCAAGCTCAGTTTAAAGAACTATTTAAAGAAGTCTTGTGTTCTACTTAATTTTCCCATGTGCTTCTTTCACATTACATAATAATGGTTAATGTAAATTGATCTATGTCAGTGAGAATGTTAATTGATAAAATTGATAAACCCATCCATATATGAATTAAAAGATGCACAAGAATAAATGGCTTTTGAAATTTGGAACGGTTTTATAAGTTTGTTTATGGCTACTCTGAATTGGTCAAAAGTAATTTAGATAAATGGTACATTTCACCATCTTAGAGTGGGATTGCAGTCTGGGTATACTTTACTCTTAACATTTTATGTCAGAGTGCCAGTTACTTCCCATGAAATTGTTGGGCATCAGGGAAATGGAAGTTGATAGTTGCCACAATTTTTTTTGAATCTGTATTTTCAGAAACACATAAGCACAGATGAGTATTCTCTGAGAGTTTGACATTTTCTCAAGCATGTTGGCAATACTCTGTATTAATAGTCCTTTTAAGAATAAGAATTAGTGGGGTTCCTGGCTGGCTCCGTCAGTTGGTGGAGCATGTCACTCCTGAGGTGAGTTCAAGCTCCACATTGGAGGTAGAGTGAATAGTGATGGTTCACTTAGACCTCATTCACCAGTGTCGATTTTAACATCTTCTTGAAAAAAGGTGCTTAACCTGAGATTGTTGAAGTGATACTATTTTGACAGTTAACTAATTTGAAGAGTTCAGGATGAATTGCCATAATTTAGATTCTTAAAGTTTGAAATTGGATAGAATATAATCTTACTTAAATGGGATAATCGGAAGAGGAATTTTGATGATTCAAGTCATTGATTGCATTTAGGTGAGCTAGGCTGTAAACCTGATTTATTGAGCTAGTAGCAACTATGAATTCAGTAGTTCTTTATAGTTGATACACAATGTTGCATTAGTTTCACATGTACAACAGTGATGTCACAAGTCTGGGCTTGAACTCACAAATTGTGAGATCATGACTTAAGCTGAAGTTAGATGCTTAACTGACTGAACCACCTAGGTGCCCCTGTTCAGTTATGCTTTTAAATGAATATCTTCTAATATATCCAGAGTATTTTCTGAATCCTAGCTTCTCTATGAGGTTGGTACTATTTCCATATTCAAGAAAAATAGCCGTGATAGTCATTTGTTGCAAAGCTAGAGAGTTTGGATTTGTATAGTCTGTTCTTAACTAATTCATACCCACAGCATGAGAAACTGAGAACTATCAGAGAACGATCTTTTCCATTCTTGATGTGGTACTTAGGGCACTGTGCATATAATTCTGTGCTTAATGGGTGAAGGGCTATCTTGTGATAAAAGCCTTGTGGATATTTAAACTGTAGGAGGTTCATAACTTTTTTCTCTGTTTTGCTATAGAAGCAATGTTAGATGGACTGAATACTGAATGTGTTCCCACCATCAGGCGTTGAGTGTCCAGCGGTGGACAGTTTGCAGATTTAGAAAGAAAGAAAGTGTGTTTCGGGGTATGGGGGAAATGTTAAAAAGCACCAAAAGCCTTTAATGAAATAGAGTGCTGTGAGAATACTGGGGCTACCAAATTCGATTGTCATTGATGGGCTCTGAACAATTCGGTTCGGGCTGATCCCTGCAGATGGAGAGCTGTGCCTCACATTAAGCTCAAAGCCAAATCCTGTGGAGGAGAAGGCACTGAACGCCGGCGGGAGTAGGATCCTGGGTGTGGATGGGGGCAGCCAGGACTCACTGCGCCTGCGCGCTCGGTCTGTGCGTCTGCGCACGGTGCTCCGGCCTTTTTCTGCGACACTTTTGTACCTCTGAGCGGTGACGGGGCTGTTCAGAAATCCCAAACTTTTGTCTGGAAAGATTTGTGAGAATGCTGAGACCCAAGGTCTCGTCAACCTCATCTTCTGCCCCTGCGGCTTCCCCCGCATTGGGAAAGGCTAGAATTCAGAGTCCTCGCTATAATTTCGGACTCCAGGAGACGCCTCAGAGCCACCCTTCAGCACAGGCGTCTGCGTCCACCCCTCCGGGCACGTCTGGAGCCGCCGGCGACCAGAGCAGCAGCACCAGTGTCCCCGGCCGCGCCCAGCCAGCCCAAGGCAAGGAGTGGTTGGGTGGATTCAGGGGTCAGCCGGAGGCCTGCGGCTCCTGGAGGTTCAGGGGGCGGGCGTGGGTGGTTACCACAGAGAAATATCAGTTGGGATTTGGTTGGAGGATGAGAATAGGGTGCTCTAGGAATTTGAGTGACTGAAAGGCTGGACTGGTCAAATTGGTTTTATTACAAGTCCACGATGGTAAATGGCTCCGTTCTGAGGAAGAGTGAAATAACACCCGTTGTAAACCGCCTCCGCCCAGAGTGTATGACACATGACAGAATTTGTGCAGGAATTTGGTGACAGGAATGCTAAACCGCTTGGCTAAACCTCTTGGCTCCTAAACTAGGATGGGATGAAAATAGATTAATTTTTAAAAAATGTTTGTTTATTTTTGAGAGACAGAGCAAGCACGAGCAGGGGAGGGGCAGAGAGAGAGGGAGACAGAATCTCAAGCAGGCTCCGTGCTCACCCGTCAGCGCAGAGCCTCATGCGGGGCTCGAACCCACGAACTGCAAGACCATGGCCTGGGCTGAAGTCGGAGGCCTAACCCACTGAGCCACCTAGGCGCCCTGAAGGAATTAAATTTAGCATTAAATATCATCCAGTTGAATAATCTATTTTTATTTTTATTATTTTTTAATTTTATTTATTTCTAGGAGAGAGAGAGAGAGAGAGAGACAGCGTGAGCAGGGGAGGGTCAGAGAGAGAGGGAGTCACAGACTGAAACAGGCTCCAGGCCCTGAGCTGGCAGTCAGCAGAGAGCCCGACGCGGGGCTCGAACCCACGAACCGCGAGATCATGACCTAAGTGAAAGTCGGACGCTTAACTGACTAAGCCACCCAGATGCCCCAGTTATGACTTTTTAAACAGCAATTGTGGAAGCTAGAAGACAATGGAAGATTTCCTGCAGTACTCTGTAGAAAAGTTACTGCTAACCAAAACCATCTATACTTAGTTACCAGTCAACATATAGGAAGATAAAATATTTTCAAACATAGGACATCTCAAAATTTTACNTATATTTATTTTTAAAAATGTATGTCCTTCAATACGAGTTTGACTCCTTTATATTTGGACAAGTCTCCCTTCATGGAAAAAGCATCCCTGTTTTCCACATGCCATTGCAACCCAAAGATAAGGTAACAAGTGCCAAATCCAGTGGTCACTTTTCAGTTTGTGTTCAGTGTTCTTGACTAGTTTTCTCTTGAATTCTAAATTTAGCTTCCCTAATTCTACTCTCCTGTTTTTCTCCTAAGTCCCAGAGAACTGCTTTGCTTACCTTTGTCATTTCCCAAATTATGGTTTGTCCTTAGAGGTTTTTTTCCCTTAGGCCACTTCTTGGATGGGATAACCACCACCACTCATCTCAACAGTGCTGCAGGGTCCTGTTTCAGACTATCTTCTGAAGTTTCTAGTGGGAGACCAGTGGACACCTCAGACTCACTATGTGGTTAATTGAATTCATCTCTCCACAGTTCCTTGACTTGTTTCTTTTATTTATCTCAATCATTGGGTTGTCTAAATTTAAACCCTATAAGACTTCCAACAGTTCCTTCACTTTGTTTTTTCAAGTGTATTTTTTTATGTCTTTATTTTATTTTGAGAGACAGAGCAAGTGGGGGAGGGTCAGAGAGAGAGGGAGACACAGAATCTGAAGCAGGCTCCAGGCTCTGAGCTGTCAGCACAGAGCTTGATGCAGGGCACGGACCCACGGACTGAGATCATGACCTGAGCCGAAGTCAGACGCTTAACCACCTGAGCCACCCGGGTGCCCTGGCTTTGAACATACAAACACTTAACAAGTCCCGTCTTTGTCTTTTAAATAATTCTTTTCCTATCTCTCTCTGTGCCACTACAGGCCCTCATTATTTTACGTCTGAATTATTGCATTAAATTCTGGCTTTGTTGACTGGTTAAATGGTAGTACTGTTTCCTGATAAAATGAGGTTTGTAGGAGAAGCACCATTTAGAGGGAAAATGAGTTCTTTTATGGACATGTCGACTGTGAAAAGCCTCTAGAATATCTATATATTCACACTAAGGCAATTGAATATACGGATCTAGGACTAAGAAGAGAAACTTAGGAGAGATTCAGACTTGAAAGTTATCAGTATATTTGAGGCCACATGAAGATACAGCAAAAGAGAGGTCAAAGGAATTGGAGGACAACAAAGACAAGTAAGTTTCAAGAAGGGACTTCGAGTCGAAAAGTAACCTGAGAACAAAAAACAGCCCTCTCTTGTCTCCAGTTTCTGGTAACCACTCTCTGAGTTCCTTTAAGCCTAGGTAACAGAACACACTTTGTCCTTGTTCTATACACTTCTTTATGATGATATCCTTATACCCTGCCTATACCTTTGCAAATGTTTTCTTTATCAAACTTCTCAAAGTATCCTAGTTGAATGTATCTGATTCCTGCTGGCACCCATATTTAGGTCTTATCCTATGGTGGGTATGGGGCAACACTGCTGAATTGCAAGAAAGGAGATAAATGATGAAATTTCTTTTTTGGACAGATCACTGGTGATGATGTGAAGAATAGGTTAGAGAGGCATAATACTAGAGGCAAAGGGAACAATTAAAAGAAACTTAGAGAGGGCCTGAAGAAGATATGGCCTTAAAATGGGCTAGTAGGAATGGAGATGGAGAGGAATTTTAGTGGTTAAAAAAAACAAAAACGATTTACAATACCTACTCATTGATTTGGTGTTAGGTTTGATGAAAGAAAAATTAAGAATGATTCTGACAAGGTACAAGATGTTTCAGTTGAGCACAACTAGTAATAAAGAATAAAAAAATAAAAAAAAATAAGTTTTGAGGGAAAGATAATGAGTTTATTTTTGGACATTTAAAAATTCTGGAGAGACATCTAAAAGTTTATATCCAAAAGGGACACAGGGCCACACTGATAGAACTTTTTGTGATGACAGAAATATTTTATATCTGTGCTAATATGGTAGCCAATAGCCATATGTGGCTTTTGAGCATTTATAATGTGGCTAATGTGACTAAGGAACATAATTATTAATTTTAGTTAGTTTTGATTTATTTTAAATAGTCACATGTGGTCCGGAGCTACTGTATTGAACAGTGCAGGTATAGACCTAAGAATGGTTTTTGCATTTTTATAGGGTTGAAAAAGTAAAAGAAGAATAATATTTTGCGACATGTGAAAATTATGTTAAATTCAGATTTCAGTGTCTAGAAATAAAGTTTTATTGAAACATAGCCATGCTTATTCATTTACTATTGTCTATGGCTGCTTTCCCAATATGTTGTCTCAGTTGAGTAATTCTGACAGACAGAAAGGCTCACAGAACTTAAAACATTTACTATCTGGATCTTTATTAAAAAGTTTGCCAAACTGTGGTTTATAGTATAAGAGAGAAGTTAGGACTGTATATGAATCTTGAGGATTATAGATAACTAGAAATAGGAATTAATAGAAACCAAGATAATGGATGAGATGCCTAGAGAAGATGTATAATGTTAATTTGTGGGTGAAGATGAAAAAGTGTAGAACCCTGGGAAGCCAGCAGTTAAAAGGAAGAAGAAAAAGGATCCTGGCAAAGGAAACAAAGCAAGTGGTTTAAGGAGAATCAGAGCTGTCATGGAAGTGGAGAGGAATATTTACAAATGGAAGGAGGGAGGCAAACCACAAGAGACTCTTTAAAATATATAGAGAACGAACTGAGGTTGGATGAGTGGGTGGGGGAGAGGGAAAATAGGTGATGAGCATTGAGGAGGGCACTTATTGGGATGAGCACTGGGTGTTGTATGTAAACCATTTGACAATAAATTAATATTTAAAAAATTTAAAAAAAGGAACTGAAGAGAAACAGGAAAAAAGAGCTGCAATATATACTTTTAAGAACTTCTATGTGCCAACACACTAAGCTAGGCTGTTTATGTGCGTTCTTTCTAATTTTATGACAATCCTGTAAAATAGGTAATATATCAGTGGCAGAGTTCCTAAACAGGGAAATAAATCCAGATGAATTTAAAACTCTCGGGGTGCCTCGGTGGCTCACTTGGTTAAGCATCCAACTCTTGATTTCAGCTCAGATTGTGATCTCTGGGTTCATGAGATCGAACCCTGCATCAGGTTCTGTGCTGCTACTGCCAAGCCTGCTTGGGATTCTCTCTCTCTCTATCTCTGTCTCTCTCAAAACAAACAAACAAACAAACAAACAAACATTTAAAAAGTTGTTAAAATTCTTATGCTATTTGCATGGGAGGAGAGAATTTCAATGAAGTTAAATCAATCCAGGGAAAGAAGTCTCATAATTGCTATACAAAGTAAACATCTGGTATATTTGAAGATTAGAAGGTAGTTTTTTATTTTATCAAAAGTAGTCTCAGCTTGTAGAAGCATATTAGCAAGCACTATTCCTTATATTTTAGTGCCAGATTATTTATCAATAATGCCATTAAGTTTGTCATAATTGGTTATATTTTTAAAAGTCCTTATCTAATGAAGTTTTATAGAAAGTGAACATGATATAAATTATAGTGATTAAAACATCATTGTATAATTCTACATCTTTAGAAACTGACATTTCATTTTTCAAATTTAGGTTCATATTTTGGAAACAAAGGATCTAATACAGAAAACACATTTGCATCAAATTTTACTTTTGGCACAAGCTTATCTTCTGCACGAGATAGTAATTATCCTCGTACACTAAAAACTCCATTGTTTGCTGGAAATCCTCAGAGATCAGGTTATAAAAGTTGGACACCACAGATGGGATATTCAGGTAAAATGAATGGAATATTGACCTAGATGACCTTTTGAAACATTTAAGGTTTGTAAATTATAAATTAGGGTGGTTAAATTCATTTGAAGTTATTTGTAACTGATAATGGACCACTGAAAAACATACATTAATTTACTTCTATCCATAATTTGAGGTTAAGTTAACGCTACATAGTTTGTGATATTATTTGTTAGTATATGCAAGTCTGCATTTTTAACTATTCTGACAAAAAGTAAATGAACGAGAAATCTCTCTTTTATACATGATGTGTATTTAAATCTAGAAATTGAATCTTCTAATACTATCCTGTGGGTTTTTTTATACTTAAATTTTAGTATTTACCTAAATCTACTAGATTCTCTTGAGGGGAAGATGGATGAAATAAGTCTTCATGTATAAGCATTCTCTAAGGTACATGCAGTGGAATTGCTTGGATATAGTATTTATGAATACATACATTTACAAGATAATGATAATTTTTTTTAAGTACTTCTACCAGTGTATACTATTACTAGGAGCGTTCTTGTTGATTTATATCCTCTTTGACATTTGATATTGTCAGACTTCTTAACATTTAGAAGTCTAGCAGTTGTAAGATACTATCTAACTGTAATCTGAATTTGCATTTTCCTGGTTATCAATGAGGCTGATTACCTTTTTTTTTTTTTTTTTTTTTTGAGTTTATTTATTTATGTTGAGAGAGAGAGAACACATGTGTGCTGAAGGGGCAGAGAGAGAGAATCCCAAGCAGCCTGGTGGCCTATGCAGGGCTCAAACTCACAAATCTCTAGATCATGATCTGAGCTGAAATCAAGAGTTGAACACTTAACTGACTGAGCCATCCAGGCACCTGAGGCTGGTTACCTTTTGTGTGCTTTTTGACCATCTAGCTTTCATTTTTGTGAAATGCCTATTTATGTGTTTTTCCCATTTTTCTTTAGGTTTATTCTAGATTTGCAGAAATTCTTTATAGATTCTGAATATATATTCAGAATACTTGTTCTTTTTGATGAGTACATTTATTGTGTATATCTTCCCTAGATTTGTGACTTCTTTCCTTCTTTTATTATGATGTTCTTTGATGAACAGTTCTTAATTTTATACATTTTTAAGTAAATATTCTGTCTCCACTTGTAAAGAATATATTTTACAGTTATAAATATGTATAGGTTATATATGTCTATTAGGTCAATTTTTTTTTTTTTAACCTCTGTGCCCAGTGTGGGGCTTGAACTCATGAACCTGTGTTTAAGAGTCACATGTCTACCGACTGAGCCAGCTAGGTGCCCCTGTTAGGTCATTTCTTTAATTGTGTTGTTTAAGTCTGTATCACTAAAGACTTTTTTAGAGGTATATTAAAATCTCCCAGTCTGATTGTAGACTTGTCTGTTTCTCTAGTAGTTCTGTTAATGTTTTGTTTTGCATATTTTGAAGCTATTTCATTATTTTTTAAAATTTCTTTTGAGAGAGAGAGTACATGCACACATGCATAAGAACAGAGGAAGAGCAGAGAGAGAAAGAGAGAAAGAGAAAATCCTAAGCAGTCGGGCAGAGCCAGACATGGGGCTCCAACCCACAAACCATATGATTATGACCTGAGCTGAAATCAAGAGTCAGTCACTTAAGCAACTAAGGGGCACCTGGGTGGCTTAGTCAGTTAAGTGTTACACTTTGACTCAGGTTTCCAAATTGGGCTCAGTGCTGATGGTGTGAGCCTGCTTGGGTTTCTTTCTCTCTCTCTCTCTCTCTCTCTCTCACTCTCACTCTCTCACTCTACCCCTTTCCCGTCATGTGCTCTCTTTCTCTCAAAATAAATAAACTTAAAAAAAAAAAAAAAGAGTTGGATGCTTAACTACCTGGGCTACCCAGGCACCCAGAAGCTATTTTATTTTATTTTTAATTTTTATTTATTTCTGAGAGAAAAAGAGAGACAGCGTGAGCAGGGGAGGGTCAGAGAGAGAGGGAGATACAGCATCTGAAACAGGCTCCAGTCTCCAAGCTAGCTGTCATCTCAGAGCCCGACGTGGGGCTTGAACCCACGAACCGTGTGATCATGATCTGAGCTGAAGTCGGATGCTTAAGCAACTGAGCCACCCAGGCCCCCCCCCCCCAGAAGCTATTTTAGTAGGAGCATAAAAATTTAGCATTGTTGTATCTCAGTATTAAAAGATTCTCTTCATCTATAGATATACTTTTTGCCTTAAAATTTTTATTTTTTCTGCGATTAATTTAGCAATTCTTTTTCTTTTGGTTAGTGTTTATATGGTGTGTGTGTATAAATATATATACACACACCGTGTATATATATATATATTGGTATGTATATGTATATATGCATGTGTATGTGTATATATATATATATGGTGTATATATATTAGTATGTATGTGTATATATAAATATATATGTGTATATGTATATAGGTATGTATATATACACATGTATGTATGTGTGTGTATATATATATATATTTTTTTTTTACATCCAAACTTTTACCCTAAGGCCTTTTACATGGTATTTCCTATGCTTAGAAACTCTTTCTTCCCCTTTTCATATAGTCAACTCTTATTTATTCCTCAAGTCTAAGCTTAAATGTTATTCCTTTCAGAAAGCTTTCTGTGATCCTGTAAGATTAGTTTGACTCTCTCTGCTATGGGCCCTCATTTCACTTTGCATTTTACTAATAATATTGATATTTTAATTGACCTTTTTCCTTTGTAGCACTATGAAGGCAGAGATTATAGCAGTCTGGATCCATCTGAAGATAGAACCATACAGTGATTTAAACAAGGGAGATTTAATATAAAGAATTATAAATTATTATAAAAGAGTCACTATAGGATATAAGAAAACTCATTTAGGTGCCCTAGGGCTGAGAAGAGGCCTAAGAGGTCAAACAGGCCCTTTCCAGGAGCCATCTCCAAGTCTGGGGCATAGTTCTCTTTGGAGAAGGTGATGTTGAACTTGTTAAATATCAGAGGATACAGATTGGCCAGGAAAGAGCTAGTCCACTGTCCCCCTGGGGAGTGGTGCTATATAGGGCATTTAATATTTATCTCTGCTCTTGGCAGATTAGGTACTCACATTGTGGTTGACCAAGTCAGCCTTATTAAGAGGAAGTTCATGATGTTGAGCCCATGGATATCTTTGACACCATGGCTGCTTTGTTCCTAAATCTATTAAAGAAGCACTGGGGTGACGACGGAAAGAGGCTAATTGAAGTTCATAGAGTTAATCATTTTGTCTACCTGATCATTAAGTCTCCTCTATAGTAGATGCCCTTTAGTGGGCATTCACATGAGACACAAATATTTTCAAAGCCTATGCCCATTAAAAGAGGTTCATCTGCATGCATTTTCCCCAGCTTTCCTTGACATTAACCTCCAATCTTGTTTCTTTCAAGTCCCTGACTACCCAGCTAGATCATTACCAACTGATTAAAATGAATCAAAATCTGTACTTCTGGTACAGTACTACCTCGTTCTAGACATGGCAGACAACCAAATGTACTCCTCAGAGTTCTGCTCATATGAAAGATCAAAGTGAACAAAATAGCCAAAGAAAATTGGAATAAAATAGTAATGCATATCAACTGTCTCAGTAAAAGAAGTTTGATAGCAAAAAAGCAATGGAGAAATTATTAAGGAAAAGATTGTCTATACAAAAGCAGAAATCTTTGAGATACCAAATCAAGATTGGTAACAACTATAAATCATTGTAATTGATTTATACAATTTTCAATAACATGAAAAACATTAAAATTTAGTAAAAACTGTATTAAGACATAAATATCTCTAAAGAAAATATAGAGGGGCACTTGGGTGACTCAGTTGGTTAAGCATCCGACTTTGGCTCAGGTCATAATCTCACAGTTCATGGGTTCGAGCTCTATATTGGGCTCTGTGCCGGCAGCTCAGAGCCTGGAGCCTGTTTCAGATTCTTAGTCCCCCTCTCTCTCTATTCTTTCCTTGCTAGTGCTCTGTCTCTCTGTCTCTGTCTCTGTCTGTCTCTCTCAAAAATGAATAAACATTAAAAAAAATTTTAAAAATATTTTAAAAAAAGGAGGAAAGAAACCTCTGAATTAAGAAGAAAGAGAAAGAATTTCTTTTAAAGAATATAGAAAACAAATGGATATATTACGTTATGTTCAATTTTGATAGTAATTTTCAAAAATACAAATTTAAGTATCAGTCCATTAAATTACCTAATACTACTACTACATTTCAGAAGTTAATAATGGTAAATATACAGCAAAATTGGTTTATCTCAAATACTACTGATGGAATTAAAAATTGGGAGAAAAATCAGTACAGGGGCACCTGGCTGACTTGGTCGGTAAGCATGTTGCTCTTGATTTCGGGGTTGTGGGTTTGAGACCCACATTAAGTGCAGAGGTTACTTAAATAAACTTTAAAAATCAGTACAATTCTGAAAGCAATTTGGTAATATATATGAGATCCTTAACAAATGGTGATTTTCCTTTGTTCTAGTAATTGACTTCTAAGGATCCATTTTAAGGAAATAATAAGAGCTTTAGACGCTAGAATGCTAATTATATTATTACTTACAAAAGAGAGATGACAGTGTAAGAATTCTTTTAGAAATTTAAGGGAGATATCTTCCGAGTGTACTGAATTTCCACTGGAAGTTGGTGTTTAATTTCCAATTAATAACAGGAAGGTCATATTTTATTGCAGAACTTAAAATGACTTCATAGATCTAATATAAACTCACTCATAATGTATAAGGTGGCTTTCAGATGAAAGAGAGTTCTGAGATGTTGATACAATAAATTTTTCAATGAACTCTTAAGTTAACTACCGACTAAGACAACATAAATGGGTAATTCTGTAGACATTATAATAGAAGAGTAGAAAAAAAGAATCTAGGTTGGGAAGGGAAAAGAGGGGAGAAAGGGCCTATTAAAAGACTGACAAGGGAATCAAAGATAAATTTGCTTTCTGACAATAAAATTTTAGACATGTTTTTCATCCCTGGATAATGTCCTATTTTTAAATAATTTCATATACTTTATTAAAAAACCCTTTTATGTTATTGCATTTAATGCTTATAACAACTTTGTGAAAAAAAGATTTGCTATTTCTGGCTTACAAATGAAGAAATGGTAGCTTTATTAAGGTTAAACAACTTACCTAAATATTCATTATTTGGAAGGCATAGATTTCAAAATCTATAATACATGTAAAGGTTAGGAGCCAGGCTGCCTGTGTACTAATTCTCACTCTACTAGTTCCACCCATGTGTCTGTTTCTTTATAAGTAAATGGAGTAATTATCTCTATTTGATAGAAATCTGACAATTAAATTAATCCAAATAAAGAATTTAGAACATTCTTGACACGTTAATAATGTATTGTTAACGTGTGTATATTAATTACACATATAATACACGATACATATAATTGGAGTTTATACTTGCATAATATTTTATTTTTTATAAAACGCATTCATATATATACAATCCCATTTGATTCTTTCAGCCAGTTCTTGAGTTGGGCAGGGCAGTTATTATATTATACCTTGTAATTTTTGATTATTTGTTATGAAATACTTTGCTCAAATTCATTTAACTTTTAGGTGATAGAGTAGGATAAATAATCTAGGTTTTCTGACTCCAAATTCAGTGTTCCTTTATAACTCCATTCCAATAAATGCAACATAAGACAATATACAGTTTATTTCTAACCTTGAAGTTTTGGCAAAATACTTTGAGAATTAACATTTTTATGTGTTCCAGATATGAAAAGTTGTTTTTTGATGAGGAAAAAAAAAGTTATTTCCTTGGATATGAATAGCTGTGTTCTACACTTGGTCCTTTGAGATCTTATGAGGAAAGAATGAGAATGTACTACTATTAATGTTTATACATTTTCTTTTTACAAAATTTTTAATAGCTACATCCTCATCTGCAGCATCAGTACATTCCCCATCAGTTATTGTAGCTGTTGTAGAAGGGAGAGGACTTGCCAGAGGTGAAATAGGAATGGCAAGTATTGATTTAAAAAGCCCACAAATTATATTATCTCAGTTTGCAGACAACACAACATATGCGAAGGTAGGTATTAATACTCTTAGAAAATGGTTACCTAGTCAGGACTATGCAGATTTTCAAGTCAGTGCTTTCTTAATTAGTTTATTTTTTTTGTGGAATAAAGGTAATTTACACTGGACCAATGTAGGTTACTCTGAATTAAAATTGTTTAACATCTGATTTTAAATTTTTGAATGTATTTTGTCCTAAAAATAATGTGCTTTGCTGTTGCTTGAATATTTCAAATTACTGTTGGTTTCTAAAATTAATACCTGCAAATTAATAATTCCTGGTCTTCTTCCCAAGACTGTATATTAATAGTGCCATTTTCAAAGGATTGTTTCCACTGTACAGTATTTGAATTTTATTTTCCAGTGTTCAGGGAAACTGCTCTTTTAGGTCAGTCATATTTAACCTCTACTTGCCTTCACATCCTATCACACTTCTCATTAATTTGGGTCACTGGTCTGTTGTCATGGGAATTTCTGTCCCTTAACTAGGTAGAAGTAATCTGCTTCTAATCTCTATATTGTAAAAGTTATTTGACCCAATTACTATTATTAAAGACACATATACTGTTATTTTGGGCATTTTATTCTCCTTTTTTCCTTTCCCTAATTCCTCTTTATGGTTTCTTAATATATAGGTTTCCTTTCCTACGAGTAATTAATTTTTTAATATACCTAACAGCATAAATGATTCTAGTACTGCATGCTGACTTACCTCTGGGTATTTCATATTTTTATGCAATTAAAAAAATGGGGGAAAAAACCTTTTTTAAAAACACGAATGCTTGGCAGATTGATTAAGAATTTCTGTGTCTAGAATAGTTCTAAGAAATGCAACTATATTATGAAAAGAATGAGTTGTAACACAGGTGTTTCTAATTGGTGTTCCTATACTGCTCAACTTCTAAGCTGTACTAGTGTGACCATATTGATTAAATCACCATAGTTGCACTATTGAATGTGTGTATGTTTTTTATGGAGATAGGTAAAATACTGAGTAGAAAAATTTATTTTAAAATATCTTAGGAATACATATTTGATAAGCTCAAATTAATTTTTTAGCTGAGAGCTGTTATAAATTATTGTGATTTAATTTATAGCTGTGATTTAATATTGTGGTTTAATTTATACTTATTAATTTAAAATATAGCCTATGTTTATATTTTATATTTGTAGTTATATAGAATATGTTTAATATATCACTATTAGATATATATTTTAACTGAAATATATAATTAGAATAATTGTAATTTTATGTAACTGTGAATTAATTTTAAATACTTCTCTCTTAGAAAAATATGTCACTTGTTTGGCTTTAGAGAATCACAAGCTTACATTTAAGAAATTATTTATTCAAATGATTTTAGGTGATCACTAAACTCAAAATTTTATCGCCTTTGGAAATAATAATGTCAAATACTGCTTGTGTTGTGGGGAATTCAACTAAGTTGTTTACTCTGATCACAGAAAATTTCAAGGTAAGTGATTTTTATTCTCAACAGTAATACTCAAGATCTTACTTTATTTAAATTCCATTCTATAATGGCATTCTGTAGAACAATAATTTGAGTAACTATGTTTACCCTAAAGTACGAACTAAATACAAGTTCTAAGCTATGGGACTATTAATACATAAAATAAAAATGACAGAGCATCTGCTTATTTGATTTGGCACCCTTGATCTACTTAAACTTTTTGTTTTATGTTTATTTATTTTTGAGAAAGAGAGAGAGAGAAAGGGAGAGCGCAAGCCTGAGTGGGGGAGGGGCAGAGAGAGAAGGAGACAAAATCTGAAGCAGGCTCCAGGTTCTGAGCTGTCAGCACAGAGCCCCACGTGGGACTTGAACCCATGAACTGCGAGGTGATGACTTGAACCCAAGGTGGACAGTCAAATGACTGAGTCACCCAGGTGCCTCTTGATCTACTTTAAAAAAAGGGAAAATATATCAGATAATAAGGAGGTTTCTCAAGAGTACACAGGATGTAGACCCTTAGAGGAAAAAAACAAACAAACAAATGAATTTCCTTAGGTATAACTTTGTGGAAACTGGTTATTTTGCTGCCAGACTAGTTGAAATTGAGGTTCCTGTTCTAGGGAATAGCACTGTCGACAAGTACTTTTCCTTTTAGAGAATTTGATCCATATTACATAATTGTTTCAGCTTCTCTTGGTAGCATGTACTCCTCAGTTAGCCTACTTCTCTAAGCCTTCATCTGTGGGACTGTGACAGGTAAGTGCTCTGAAACTTTATCCAGTGAATGCTCTCCATCTAAGCCAGAACGTTTCTACCATACAGTTTATCACTTTCCTCTATCATATGTTTTGTGGAATGGGGGCTGTAGTTCTCTAAGCAGGTAGCATTGCAGTTGGAATAATGCCTCATGAGTGTAAATTATTTCAGAATATACTATACTTTGTTATGTTTGTAGTCTTATCTTTAACACGTTTGGCATCAAGCTGTGATTTAGAGTGTAGTGAGTTCTTTATTCTTCTTAATATATTCAGCATCTGCAATCAGTTAAGATTTCTTGTTGTGTTCTTAGAGATCCTGTGTAGTCAGCTGTCTTTGACTTATTGCTAGAAATGGCCGCTACTGTAAATCTGTTGTCTCTATTATACAGATTCTTTACCTATTATCTGTTTTATTCATTAGTTCAAACTTCTTTTCATCACCTTTATTTATGTATACTTTTCTAACTTTTGTTATTTTGTTCTGCTTAAGCATTCCAGGTTTTTGGGTTATAAGTAACAGAAATTCAACATACACTAGCTTAAGCAAAAAAAAAAAAAGGAACTTTATTGGCTTATGTAACTGAGAACCCAAATGAATGATTGGATAGATCTTATCCCCTACTCCCATCTCTACCGGCCTTTTTTTTTTTTTTTTTTTTTTAATTGTAGACTGGTTACCTCTGTGAGTTTTAAGATGATTATGCTTAACCCACTGAGCCACCCAGGTGCACAGTTTTAAGGTGATTATGATAGCTCCAGATGTCATCTCAGCCAGCTCAGAGAAAAAATATATTCTTATTTGTAGTGTCCATATATAAATTCTAGAGAAGGACCCCAATGGGTCCTGCTTTATTCATATCCCTACATGTTAGACTAATCACTGTTTCTCAGGGTAGAAGCACTGGGATTAATTCTTGCTCATTTGCTTTCTGTGGGGCACAGAGCACTGTAATTGACAGTCCTACCAAAACCACATGGATGTAAGATAGATGAGCCCTTCAAGGGCGAAAACAACATACATTTACTACATTTGAGATGTAGGATAGTATGGCAGAGTGCTTAAGAATAGAGGAGTCAGACTGCTTGTTTCAGATTTTAACTCTGAGTGATCATGTGCAACTTAAGTTACTTCTTTAAGTTTTTTTTTTTTTCGATCAATGAAATAGGGACAATAAGCTACCTTTTAGAGAATTGGTAATTAGAGAAATGACCTCATTGATAAGGTTACTTTTGGGAAAAATCCTAAAGAAGTGAGAGAGAATCATAGAAGTATTTGGAGTAAAAGTATTAACTTTTTCAATATATTTTTCAATATTATTATCCTCCTCCTCTTCCTCCTCCACATCATTACCATACTTACCATAAAAAAAAAATCTTTCATTAAATGAGAAACAGTAAGAGGTGGAAAGATTTTGTAGGCAGAGAAATCTAGATTCAAGTCTCATCTTTGCCATATATCAAATGTATGATGTTAGAAAAGCTACTTTTTAGAATTTACTTGTAAGACAATGATAGTTAATACAAGACTTATAACACAGGGTATTGTGAAAGATTAACTGAAATAACTTAAAACAATCTTAGTGGGTAACAAATTCCCTACCTCAACATTTTTTTCTGTATTATAGCTCTTTCATAGTCCATTGTTATTATATTGCCTTATATCTTTATTCATAGGTAAAACTTTTGCTCTACAATTTCATGCTTTTTTTCCCTTTTTAAAAAAAGTTCCATTATCTCCTTTTCTTTATTCCAAATAAATGCATCTCCTAGATTTGGTAGCTGGAATTGGTGTTTTCAGTCTCCGCAACTAATGTATTGAAAGGATCTACTCTCTCTCAATTATGATAGAGTATGTAAGACTGAAAGTAAAACCTGGGTGGTAATGCTGTTGTAGAATAAAATTAGTAGAAGGCAGAGATTCTCATGTTTATTTTTTATTATTGGTCCTACCTGATTCAGTTATATGTCATGTGAGTATGGTCTAATAAGAGCTATAGACTACTGTAATTCACTTAGCAAAACAGTCACTTTTTTTGTAAATAAGAAAATGTCTTATTTAACTCTGGAATATAATAAATAATAAAAATTAACTTCATATGATATTTATCCATGTACCTGCATGTGTTTAAGAAAGCAGTTTTAGGCAAGTGCATGGAACTTAAAATTTATTTTGAAATTAAAACTTCTTTTCAGAATGTTAATTTTACTACTATCCAAAGGAAATACTTCAACGAAACAAAAGGACTAGAGTACATTGAACAGCTGTGCATAGCAGAATTTAGCATTGTCCTAATGGAGGTTCAGTCCAAGTAAGTTATAACTTAAGGAAAGTAATAAGTCTCTAGTTTGAGTTCCATGAGAGGCAGCTCTTTTACCTGTTTTGTTCTCTGTTGTATCCTTAAAAAAGTGCCTGGGTTATGATACATACTCAGTAATTACTGAAATAGTAAAATAGTTAACTAAAACTTATACACAAGGCATATCTTGATAATTTAATTTATATAGAATTTTTCCAAATAGGTCATAATCTGTTGCCATTATGGTTGCTGCTCACTTTACTTTGGTATGAAATGCTCAAGTAGCTACAGTGACCTAGAAATGTGAGACACAGAGCTGTGTTTCTGTAACTTCATATATGTACTCCTAAGAGATTTAGATAAGACAAGGAATGATATTTTTAGGAAGGATATTTCTTAGCAAATACTAAATAGATACTTTCTTTAAACAGATTAGACTAGTTGTTTACTCAGTTAATCACAGTGACTGTACTCACCAAGATCATAACATAGTTTTCTATACATTAGAACCTCCTAACTCTACCTTTAAAGCTGTTAGGCATTTTCAACATTATTTGATTTCTTGGAATGGTACATCAAAAATTGACACAAATTCCCATTGAATATTGTCTTCTAACATATGATTTCTTGGAGTCCTTACGGGTCAGACTTCAGAAAATTGTCTTATTTTTATCAACTCTTATGTTTTAGAGGTTATTTAGCTAGTTTTCAAAAGTAATACTTAGTATGTTTTTTTTCCCCTTGAATTTAAGTAATGCTATCCAAGTATTTATAATTCTCTAATATTGAGGTGAAATGTTTTCTTTTATAGCAATAATTTTTATTTATTTTAAAGATTTATAGTGATGTATTATTGGTCACCTTTCAGGTATTATTGTCTTGCAGCTGTTGCAGCTTTATTAAAATATGTTGAATTTATTCAAAATTCAGTTTATGCACCAAAATCGCTGAAGATTTGTTTCCAGGGTAGTGAGCAGACAGCCATGATAGATTCATCATCAGCCCAAAACCTTGAATTGCTAATTAATAATCAAGACTGTAGGTAAGATCATCCAATTTTTTCTTAAAAAATGTATCAGTGTATTTTATAATGTCCTATTTTTCTATGAAAGGTTATATTACATTTTTAATAATTGTTTTAGAATTGATGTAGAAATATTTTTTTCTTAAATAGTTTATTGTCAAGTTGGTTTCCATACAACACCCAGTGCTCATCTCAACAAGTGCCCTCCTCCATGCCCATCATCCCCCTTCCCTTCTTCCCCACCCCCATCTGCCCACAGTTTGTTCTCAGCATTCAGGAGTCTCTCATGATTTGCCTCCCTCCCTCTCCCCCACTATTTTTCCCTTCTTGTGCCCCGTGGTCCTCCGTTAAGTTCCTCCTAATCCTCCTATACGTGCAAACATATGGTATCTGTCCTTCTCTGCCTGACTTATTTCGCTTAGCATAACACCCTCAACATCTATGTTGCTACACATGGCCAGATTTCATTCTTTCTCATTGCCATGTAGTATTCCATTGTATAAATATACCACATATTCTTGATCCATTCATCAGTTGATGGACATGTAGGTTCTTTCCATGTTTTGGCTATTGTTGAGAGTGCTGCTATGAATATTGGGATCCATGTGCCCCTGTGCATCAGTACTCCTGTATCCCTTGGGTAAATTCCTAGCAGTGCTACTGCTGGGTCATAAGGGAGTTCTATTGTTAATTTTTTGAGGAACCTCCATACTGTTTTCCAGAGGAGCTGCACCAGTTTACATTCCCACCAACAGTGTAGGAGGGTGCCCATTTCTCCACATCCTTACCAGCATCAAGAGTCCTTGCCAGCATCTAGAGTTTCCTGATTTGCTCATTTTAGCCACTCTGACTGGCGTGAGGTGGTATATCAGTGTGGTTTTGATTTGTATTTCCCTGATGAGGAGGGACGCTGAGCATCGTTTCATGTGTTTGTTGGCCATCTGGATGTCCTCTTTGGTAGTTGGTCTGAGGGTTGTGGGTTATCGTTAAGCTGGATGTCCTCTTTGGAGAAGTGTGTGTTCATGTCTTCTGCCCATTTCTTCACTGGATTATTTGTTTTTTTGGGTGTGGAATATGATGAGTTCCTTATAGATATTTGATACTAGTCCTTTATCTGATATGTCATTTGCAGCTGTCTTTTCCCATTCCTTTGTGCCTATTAGTTTTATGGATTGTTTTCTTTGCTGTGCAGAAGCTTTTTATCTTGATGAGGTCTCGGTAGTTCATTTTTGCTCTTGAGTCCCTTGGCTTTGGGGATGTGTCAAGGAAGAAATTGCTGCGGTTGAGGTCAAGGAGGTTTTTTCCTGCTTTCTCTTCTAGGGTTTTGATGGTTTCCTGTCTCACATTCAGGTCCTTTATCCATTTTGAGTTTGTTCTTGTGTATGGTGTGAGAAAATGATCTAGTTTCATTCTTCTGCACATTGTTGTCCAGTTCTCCCAGCACCATCTGTTAAAGAGGCTGTCTTTTTTCTATTGGACCCTCTTTCCCGCTTTGTCAAAGATTAGTTGGCCATACATTTGTGGGTCCAATTCTGAGTTCTCTATTCTATTCCATTGGTTTATGTTTTTGTGCCAGTACCATCCTGTCTTGATGATGACAGCTTTGTAGTAGAGGCTAAAGTCTGGGACTGTGATGCCTCCCATTTTGGTTTTCTTCTTCAATATTACTTAGGCTGTTCAGGGTCTTTTGTGGTTCCATACACATTTTAGGATAGTTTGTTCTAGATATGAGAAGAATGCTGGTGCAGTTTTGATTGGGATTGCATTGAATGTATAGATTGCTTTGGGTAGTTATGACATTTTAACAATATTTATTCTTCCGATCCATGAGCATTGAATATTTTTCCATTTTTCTGTCTTCTTCAATTTCTTTCCTAGGTTTTCTATAGTTATCATCATACAGATCTCCTATATCATTGGTTAGGTTTATTCCTAGGTATTTTATGTTTTTTGTGCAATTGTGAATGGGATCAGTTTCTTGATTTCTCTTTCTGTTGCTTCATATATTATTATAACTGATTTCTGTATGTTGATATTGTATCCTGCAACACTGCTGAATTCCTAGATCAGTTCTAGTAGACTTCTGGTGGAGTATGTCAGGTTTTCTATGTAGAGTATCATGTCATCTGTGAAGTGACAGTTTGACTTCTTCTTTGCCCATTCTGATGCCTTTTATTTCCTTTTGTTGTCTGATGGCTGATGCTAGGACTTCCAGCAATATGTTAAACAACAGTGGTGAGAGTAGACATCCCTTTTGTGTTCCTGATCTCAGGGGAAACACTCTCAGTTTTTCCCCATTGAGGATGATGTTAGCTGAGGGCATCACATAGATGGCTTTTATGATGTTTAGGTAAGTTCCTTCTATCCCGACTTTTTCGAGGGTCTTTTTTAAAGAAGGATTGCTGTATTTTCTCAAATGCTTTTTCTGCATCTATGGACAGGATTATATGGTTTTTATTTTTTCTTTTGTTGATATGATACATCATATTCATTGATTTGCAAATATTGAACCAGCCCTGTAACCCAGGAATGAATCCCACTTGATCATGGTGGATAATTCTGCTTACGTGCTGCTGGATTCGATTTGCAAGGATCTTGTTGAGGATTTTTGCATCTGTATTCATCAAGGATATTGGCCTGTAGTTCTCTTTTTTTTGCTGCGTCTCTGGCTTGGGAATTAAAGTGATGCTGGCTTCATAAAATGCGTCTGGAAGTTTTCCTTCGATTTCTATTTTTTGGAATAGCTTGAGAAGAATGGGTATTAAATCTATTTTAAATTCTGGTAGAATTCCCCAGGGAAGCCATCTGGCTAGGGCTCTTATTTGTTGGGAGATTTTTGATAACTGATTTGATTTCTTCACTAGTTATGGGTCTATTCAGATTTTCTATCTCTTCCTGTGTGAATTTTGGTAGTGAGTGTGTGTTTAGGAATTTGTCCATTTCTTCTAAGTTGTCCAATTTGTTGGCATATAATTTTTCATAGTATTCCCTGATTTTTGCTTGTATTTCTGAGGGGTTAGTTGTGATAAGTCCATTTTCATTCATGATTTTGTCTATTTGGGTGCTCTCTCTTTTCTTTTTGAGAAGCCTGGCTAGAGGTTTGTCAATTTTGTTTATGTTCTCAAAAAACCAACTCTTGTTTTCATTGATCTGTTCAACTGTTTGTTTGGTTTCTATATTGTTTATTTATGCCCTGATTTTTAGTAATTCTCTTCTTCTACTGAGTTTGGGGTGCTCTTGTTGCTCTCCCTCTAGTTCCTTTAGGTGCACTGTTAGATTTTGTACTTGTGCTTTTTCTAATTTCTTGAAATAGGCCTGGAGTGCAATGTCCTTTCTTCCTAGGACTGTCTTTGCCGCATCCCATAGAGTTTGAATTGTTGTATTTTCGTTTTCATTTGTTTCCATATATTTTTAAATTTCTTCTCTCATTACCCGATTGGCCCATTCGTTCTTTAGTAGGGTGTTCTTTAACCTCCATGTTTTTGGAGATTTTCCAGACTTCTTCCTGTGATTGATTTCAAGTTTCATAGCATTGTGATCTGAAAGTGTGCATGGTATGATCTCAGTTCTTTTATATTTATTGAGGGCTGCTTTGTGTCCCAGTATGTGATCTGCCTTGGAGAATGTGCCATGTGCACCTGGAAGAAAGTGGTTTTCATGTCCTCAGGATGTAGAGTTCTAAATATATCTGTCAGATCCATCTGGTCCAATGTGTCATTCAAGTCCATTTTGTCTTTATTGATTTTCTGTCTAGTTGATCTATCCATTGCTGTAAGTGGAGTATTAAAGTCCCTTGCTATTAGCACATTCTTATCCATAAGATTGTTTCTGTTTGTTATTAATTGTTTTATGTATTTAGATACTTCCGTGTTCAGTGCGTAGCCATTTATAATTGTTAGCTTTTCCTGATGGATAGACCCTTTAATTATTATATAATGCCCTTCTTCATCCCTTGTTACTGTCTTTACTTTAAAGTCCAGTTTGTCTGATATAAGTGTAGTTACTGCAGCTTTTTTTTGACTTTCAGTAGCATGATAGATATTTCTCCATACCTTATTTTCAATCTGAAAGTGTCCTTAGGTCTAAAATGAGTTTCTTGTAGTCAGCAAATAGATTTTGTTTTTTTATCCATTCTGCTACCCTATGCCTTTTGATTGGAGCTTTAGTCCATTTACATTCAGTGTTATTATTGAAAAATATGAGTTTAGAGTCATTGCGTTCTTTGTAGGATTCATGCTTGTGGTGGTATCTCTGGTACTTTGCGTTCCTTGCAACATTTCCCTCATAGAGTCCCCCTCAGGATTTCTTGTAGGGCTGGCTTAGTGGTGAAGAATTCTTTCAATTTTTGTTTATGTGGGAAGACTTTTATCTTTCCTTCTTTTCTGAATGACAGGCTTGCTGGATAGAAGATTCTTGGCTGCATATTTTTTTTGTTCATCACATTGAAGATTTCCTGCCATTCCTTTCTGTCCTGCCAGGTTTCAGTAGATAGGTCTGTGACCACTCTGATAGGTTTCCCTTAGTATGTTAGGGCCCCTTATATCCCTAGCTGCTTTCAGAATTTTCTCTTTGTCCTTATATTTTGCCAGTTTCACTATGATATGTCGTGCAGATGACCGATTCAAGTTACATCTGAGGGGAATTATCTGTGCCTCTTGAATTTCACCTTCTACTTCCCTCTCCAGTTTGGGGAAGTTCTCTGTTATAATTTGTTCCAGGACTCCTTCAGCGCCTTTCCCTCTCTCTTCCTCTTCTGGAATTCCTATGATATGGATATTCTGTTTGATTGTATCCCTCAGCTCTCAAACTCTCCTTCATGTTCCTGGATCAGTTTCTCTCTCTTATTCTGTGCTTCTTCTTTTTCTATAATTGTGTCTTCTAATTCAGCTATTCTCCTCTCTCCGTCTTCAATCCATTCATTGGACACGTCGATTTTATTATGCATCTCATTTATAGTATTTTTTTAATTCATCATAACTATTTTTACGCTCCATAGTCTTTGTAGCAATAGTTTCTCT